TAGATTTAGACATTATAAATCTTATTAAAACAAACACTTATTTTGCTCAGAGAATCCAAAAATGCAATAATATATAGGGTATTTCATTTAGAAAATCACAACTTTGATACTTTTAGGGCTTTTGGGACACTCTGTACATTACAAAAATGTTTTTAAAATGTGCGACCGATAGGCGTCTGTGGATTCATCAAATAATAGTTTGCAAAAAACAAACGGGCAGCCGCAAACGTCCGTGCCGTATAGCGTGAATAACCTTGTATATCTTATTTACTGGGAAACGAAAGTTTGATGTTAAACGTATTTTCTAAAAGGTATTGTTTACATTTCAAACAAATAAAAATAATGTTGTTACAACTACTTTAAATTCATTCCGTTTCTAAAACAACTGCTTTGAAACTCTTTACGAGTTCTTCCATACCTTCAACGTTAGATTTTTGGATTTATAATTCACTTTTCGCCTGAGGTTCTGCTGCAGGACTTGACTCCAAAATTTCAGTGTGCAAAATTATCAGATATTCCGTTCTTATTTAGCTCAACTTACCGAATTGATTGCTAAATATTTCTGCGAATTATTGATTTTTCTTACGACAATGCATACTCCACAACCTCCTTCTTCACACATTTTCTTGGTACCGGTGAGCATTAATTCATCACGCAAGAACGAATTTAGTGTTATATTGGGGGTACATCTGCTGGTCGGCACTGCAATTGGTTTAAACAATAAAACCGCAGAACTTTTTTTTCACCTCATACAATTATTTTGATATTACGTTTATAAACGTAGTGATTAAAATCAATATAAAATAAAATAAGACTGTGGCACATTAAACATTTTGGATGGAAAATGTACGCTGTACGCATACTAGCAGCACATTTTAGTTATGCTCCAATAATATAAATCATATATTACAACAGATTAAAAAAAACAATTAAAATGATAATCTTTTTAGGCTGTCATTGCTAACATATTTATACATCGATAGTACAAAAGCTGTGAATATAGAATATTTTAAAATCTGTTTTATGAATATTTAATGCAATGTTGGTATTTTCATACTGTAAATTTTCATTTACTGAATGAACGTTTTAATGAAGTTGCACTCAAGCGTTTGTTTTTGAATTCAACTATATTACAAAATTGTATCTGTTATTTACATCAGTAACTTTCATGCATGTTAAAACACGTGTATTGAATTTAATTATTTACTTTAAGTGCGGGCATATTTTCTTGTTGAATTTAGGAACAAAAAGTTGGTTGTGCTTATTCCCGAACTTACCTTGATGCCTTATCCCGTTAACTGTAATGTCCACCTCACCCAACCTAAGCAATAACTTATTTAGCGGCATTAATGAACCATCAATTTCATACTTACAAATCCATTTTTAATTCCAGGTTCTGAATCACTAGCTATTATCCTAATACTTTTAACACGTACCTAGTCAGTGGCTGCTAATGTTTCTATGGAATATACATTAAAATGGCTCAACAACCTAAATTTATGTTGTTGCATGCAATAGCTTCATTTTATTTTACGTTTTCATGTTTGAAGGCCAGATAATGGACCAATTATAAAATTATATTAATTCTACATGATTTGTCATAATTAATTGTTTTCAATGTATTATTTAAACGGGTTGTGTTTACCGAATACTCTGCCGACATATTTCTTAATGGGATATTAGTATTAAACCGTGGATGCACAATTTTATTGTTTATGAGTACGGGTTATGCCGCAATTTTTCCATCCTGTTGGTACGTACTCAACATTTATGTTTTCTGGAACATGCATTTTATATTTGCGAGGAGCTTCCTGTCCCCTAGGCGTATTTTAAGTATTTTTATTGGCCTTACATCCATTTCTTCGAGCATGTCAATGTTATTATTAGTGTTGGTTGAGGATCTTTTCGTTTTATGCCCCGGAAATCCTGTCTCGTACTGAGAATATTTTCACAAACTTGAGCTTTTGTTCCAATTTATATTTTGCTCTCATATTGATTAATGTTCGATTTCGTTCCGGAGAGTTATGGAAAATGTCTGTGATTGGTCACTTTAGAAGTCACTTCTTATAACAAATAAAACAGGTTTGTCTGTGAATTTAACCAATTAATTTATTTTATAGGCTTTCTTGTGGTAATTAAATTAGTTTCACTCCCCTATTCATTCATGTGGAATAAAACACGTAAAATGACAATTAATATACATTTTTATTATTGGGAGATTCTGTTTAACAATTATTTATTTTAAACATGTACCTACTATTGTACCTAAACGAAACTGCTCAATACAAATAATTAAAAGCAACTATCTTTCCAGTATAACGTTGCTTAACCAATATTACACAAAAACCAATATCGGATTATTGGACCATTTTACAATAATAAATTATCACAGATGAGTAAATGTTTCTTATCTAAATGATGAATATTCTAAACTCTATTCTATATAGTTATCATTTTTGAAATAAAGTCAAATATCTTATAATTTGCATTAAATAATTTTGTTGCTAATTGCAATTTGCTGCGGTTCTTCATGCTTGTAACTTTTTTCTTTAGGTAGAAAAAAATTAAATGCATAAAACTGGTTTGGACTTACACAAGTGGAATATGAAATTAACACAATTTTAAGTGGGGCGTAAATATATCCCTAATACTTCTATACAATTCAATAAATAGATTTTAGACGTACGATTAAAGCCTACACTTATTACAATATATTTTGTTACACTAAATATCTTTATCAATTTAGTAGGTACAAAAAACCACAGCCATATCAAAATTTACATAATGAAGCTTTAGGTCATGGTTTCAAAGACTGAAGGCATAATTAGCGTCTTTTTGGTTGGGATTAATTTAACGATTTCCATGCAATAATATACAATGCGCCTTAATTAATTACAATTGCTGTTATTACAGGCCAACATTACCTATAATAACAGTTTTAGTTAATTTATTATAATATTATTTTGCTTTGTTCTGAAGCCGCTTGGAAACCAGGACTTAGTTCATAGTTCTTAACATTATATTTACAAGAAATCGAATAGAGCTTAACTAGTAGCACATTAATAGTTTAGTTTAAGGTTACGCTAATCGGATGCATTTAGTTTTTCGATTTTGAAATGCATAGTTTGATGTTTGAATAAAATGCATTCAAAATTTTGGATTTTAAGATTGAGTAATTTTGTTGAGATTTTGGCATACCCGTGCAATTGAGAATATCTAGAAATATTTCTTGAGTTTATCATAAATTAAGGTAGCGGATGATGTTGAGGACAGTAGTTTTACCATATAAAAATAATCATTTTCATAAGCTCTAAATTGTTACGCGATTTTATGAGATTATTTAATTGAGCTTATGATTAATAACCAGCATAGTCATATTCAAATTATACAAAAGTATGAAAATTTCCATTATCCACCCAACTTACACACAGTCAAGCCACTACTTTGCTATTACACCAACGTTTTTCTAACTATGGCGTTAAAAATTAACGTTATACTTAAAGGCAAAACTAGACTAACTATTCTTCCGGAGTGAAGAAAGAGTGAGGAGGAAGAAAGAGCACTTGCATCAACTTTTAAGCACTCTTTATGTTCATCGTAATCAATTCGAGTTATTGCACAATAATGCGTATGTATGCAAACGTCGTCACAATTTGCTGAAGATCTTGAATGGATACGAACTGAATTGGCTTTGTAGTATCTGAAACAAGTGATTTTCCATTTTACTTCACAGCATGTGGTTCTATAGTCATTATTTTAGTTTCAGTTTTAAATCCTTTAAAGTGCATATTTTGCCTAATACAAATGACTAATGGAATTTACGCCTAACCGTCAATTTATATCTATGCTTTTCATTTCTACTAAACGCGATCGAGAAACAGTTCCTCTTATTCGATGAATGCATGAAAAATAGATCATAATATGCGTAAATCCGGTTTTTAACTGAAAAGTGTAAATGTTTGGAACCTATTTAACCAAAATAGTTTTTAAGATTTTAAAAAACTGCAATAGTCCACATTCAAATCAATAAACGACTATATATAATTATATTATATACGACAATATAAAATTCGCATTTTTAGTTCTTGGTTTTATTTCACAGCAATCGTAAACTTTGTGAAAGTTAATTAGGAAAAAACGCACTGAAAACTATTTAATGAGTTTTAGGATCAGCTTTGTTTACATGCCAGATAAATTAGAATCCTCATTGAATCAGCCTTCAACAGAAAAACATGTTTTGGTCAAGACTTTTCGACAGATCTAATTTGTCTTCGTAGCAAAAGTTCATTTTCTTGTAAGTACTCTTAGATCTGAATGCAACGATATTTAATGAATTTCAAAATAATTTAAAATTTCTCAGTCTTTTTGATCAGTTTATCCAGATGACAAAACAGTTTTTACTTCTTCCGGACTGTGAAAAGTTCGAGGTATCTGAGTGAAAAAACATGTTTTCTGACTAGTAAAAAAGACTAAGTAAACACCTATATTTTCAGGATCCGTCATCATTAAAACGATTTTTTAATGCTTGTCATAAGCTCCGATTGGGCACTTTGAAGATTAACTAAGTTTCCAATTATTATGGTTCGTCGTAGAATGAGCTTGGATGCAATTGCAACTTGCTAAAGGCTCAATTATCGTGATATCGAAGTTTATAATACTTACTTATTAAAAACGCTGTTCTCCGTCGAGGTCTCTTGCGTAAACTTGTCTGCTAGAGTATGCAAATTTAACGGAGTTATGTCGTTAATTCCGTAGTAAGTGCTAAAGTTATACTCGACTACCCAATCCGCTTTTCCGTTGTTGTTGGCAGTCGACAGGTCGAGATAATACTGGGTGTAGTCGAAAACCTGGAACGAGGATAATTGCTTAAGTTTCGTTGAAGTTGCAAGTGATTTATCTATTTTACCAACTCCAATCAGTAAGTGAGCGGTTTCAGGGCTTTAATGATTATATGGAGTTTTAGTGAATGCTCATTATCTATCTTGTAGATGCGGTTCATGCGGGCCTTTAAATTACATAATGTATTTGGTATATCGAATGCATTCCCATTATGTGGGAATGAGATGTTAGTTTGGTTACCAATGAATAAAATTCGTAAAATTTTTCGAATATTTAGCGGATTTGCTCATTACATCACTTTTTTACAAATTGTAATTTAGAGGGCTGAAAAAGCAATGATGTATGGTTAAATGTAAGCCAAACTAAATATATTTTTTAAATATGCACATCAACATATTATTAATTGTAGTTATAGGTATATCAAATCGAGCAATATTGGTCAATAATTAGGCGAAAAGTTTTCTCCAAATTAACCCTTTAAGCGAATGAAACTAGGCTACTTGCCTAGGTATAGTAAATTAAACGTTGAACTTTACATAAATCTGCATCAAATTACTTAAACATGCAACACTAACTTTGTTGATAACTTTTCATAAAATTCCTTCAAGATTACCATAAAATCAATAGAATCATCTATTCTAATATTTAGCGAGAATTCCCGGAAGGCACAATATTATGCATTAGTTGGAAACAAAATACAATAATGCAAATTTATCACACAACTAAAACACAAACTTCGCAGGAATTATAATGTAAGTCAACGCAAGCTGTCAATAAACTTACACGTTCCAGATTTGCTTATGCCGTTTCTCTGTTTGGTAGGTGCAAACAGAGTTTATCTTAAACCTATCTAGCTACTAGCCGTGTTTAAACAGTTTGAGCACACAATATAGGCCGTGCCATTGGCAAATTTAACTGAGGATATTGATAAAGTCTTGATCTCCAAAGTATATGATAATAAAGAAAGCTACTGTTATATGTGACCTTTACCACCCGTAACTGATAATTTTTTTTAGAAGAAGACTTAATGGAATAGTTTTCTGGAAATAGTACATCTATGCTTCGAAATTGCAACACTAGAAATTATACTTAATATCCGAAAGCTCAACATTTCCTCGTCTTATCGTTTCAACGACGACGAATAAGGCGGATTTCCGAACCCATAAACCTATTCCGAAAGCATATGTACACACATAAAGGTGTTTGCAAGGGAACCAAATGGTAGCTGATAACTGCAAACCCATTTCCGTTTCCGATATTTCGTATCCCCAAGTTGAATCTGCAGTATTGCTGTTTGTATAGTCAATAGTGCATCGTTGGCAATTTATGTATCTAATCCATTTATTTTCATTCTGACCTGACGTGTATGTGGATTTCATATCCATTTTACAAATTTGAACATTTATACTAACGGGAAAAGTAATACTGTGTATTATAGTTTTATCACACATTGTCATAAACATATTTTCCAAAAGAACGAAGTTGTCGTCATCAAACAATTAAGAACATTTTTAAATTGAATGACAATCGAAATATAAGAATAATTAAAAAGTAGTTGAGGTTGAACGAAAAATATTTCTTAGAGACAATTGCATTTAATTTGAGTTAGTGTAGATACCATAATGTCACCCAGATTCGTTCAACCTGTTTGCATGGACATTTGAGAAAATGTTTGTCAGCACCAGTTATTACTAGCTCGTAAAAATGGAAAGGTTCCAAATTTGTTTAAAAAAATATATTTTCTAAGTAATTTTACATATTTCGAAATATCAACGTTACTTGTACCACACCACTTTACAATAAAAAAAAGCAAGGGCCGACGGAAAAAACTATTTACTGTTTCGTCCGAAATTTCTGAATTTCATTATTTGCTGCTTATTATCTTACCAAGATTGCGTTGAAATACATAATTTTAAAACACCAAAACAGAAATCTAATATTGAATAAATTAATAGAAGAGCGACTAATTTGTAAAATGCTACGTGGATAAATATTGAAATTTACAATTATTTTGGCAGTCATAAAAAAATTATGTTTTTTTATTTCGCTTTGAGATAGGTCTGGGTATCAGCACCGGCTCAGTAACTCAGTTTCAGTGCTGGGAAAATGTTTATAACTTTTTTAGTTGTTTCTTCAAGATTTCAGCATTTTTCAGTTTTAGGACAGTTACTCGTTTTTCTTAATGCTCAATTTTCTAAAGTTTAATTTGAACACTCGCCTCCTTTGCCGCATTGTAAAAATGGTTGAAATCCCTTTCCAGCTTCGAATTTGGGACAAAAATGAAAGAAAGGTCCTTTGTCCTTAGTTCTGTAGGAATGTTACAAAAACTTTTTCAGTGTCGAATTCGGGACAAAAACGAAAATAAATTTCTCCCGTTTTTTTCCCGAAAACCATTAAGGTTTTCTCAAAGACCGATCACAAAAATAAAAGTTTTTACTTGAAAGCGCAAAAAAATATTATTTTCTGGTGTTTTTCTTTATTTCTGATAATCATGCATGCGGTCTTTTCAGCCAAAAATGACAAAATTAATTTTGTTCGAAAATTTCTCTCATTCATCGTTTTGCTGGGAATTTTAGAGAATGCTTACAGGTTTGGAACGAAAACCAAAGAATTTTATTAAGTTTTTTGTCGAAAGTAATTAAGATTATCTTCTATAAACGACTAGAGTAAAAGCTTACAAAAAGTTATTTGGAAAATTCGCCACCATCATCGCTCTGAATATTTTTAGTATCTTTAAAATTTCAGGTCTTTCCAGCTTTAGCAAAGTTTTTCTTAAGCAAGTCTTTCTACGTAAAAAACCACTATTTTATAAAATTTTACTTAAAAATACTGACAATATTCAGGTATTTTTTGTGAAAAATGATAATGTTCTTTGTTATTATAATAATAATGTCTAGTGTAATAATTCTCAGTTTTAGGGTTTCAAATTTACATTTAACACCAACGGAGCCAATATGCAGGCATTGAAAGTTTAATGTTAAACCTGCTAATGTTACCCAAAATGGCATTCTCCTTATGTATTTCGGTTGGCAACTAAGATTAGAATAGACTTTATCCGTTAAACAGCCTTCACAAGATAAGCCGGATATATTTAATTCATGTATTAGAAGAGATAGTTTACCAAAGTTATATTGCGAAATGACTCGATCTAGAGGGAAGTTTCAAGTTTGTTTCGGAAATTATGTACAAAGTAAAATTTATATCAAGAACAGGGGACAATAAGCCCCGATGTGGATGTTATTTGCAATTAAGCATGTATCATGACATTCAACGATAATATACGTGTATAGCAAGTTATTTGGTTGCCAGATATGCAATTAAATATATTTCTGTTCCAGGAATTCTAGTAATTTGCGAAATACTGAAAATCAAGTAAAATTGGTTTTCAAATGGTGATAGCCTAATTTAGAATGTATACGACCAAATGTAACTGTACGAATTAAAAGTTTTAAATATTTTTCGAATAAAATTTGTAATCGAAAACTTGTTTATTGCCGTATGTATTTCTGATAAGGAATACTAATCATCTACGAAAATATTATATAATACATACACTACATATAAGTACACGGGTTCAATTGGGTCTATAGTCTTTGTTCCATTACATCTACCCTAATAGAACAACATCAACTACAACAAAATACCATTCTTCGAAACTAGGCCATTCAAGAATCTAATGGCTTATTTCATCTCAAGAGCATAGAGCTTCAATATTAATGAGAGATCCGCACCCTTGTAACTCTACTAATTTACGTACCTCTCCAGAATACTTGTCAAATTTATATATCCTTAGGCCGGGATTATTGGGTCCATCGTGTGTCCTTTTCGGAGTTATCGAAGGAGCCAACATTGCCCAAGATATAGGTCGACCTGAAACAAAGAAAATGTTTTCTTTATTGCCTTCGTGTATTTTGGGGAAAAACGGAAAATATTTAGCTACACATTTTCGTCTATTATTATTTATTTATTGAGTAAGTTTGACATTTTTTGAGTGAATTTGAAATTTATATTTTTGCCTCAACTGAGACAAATTTGAGGAATGAGTTGAAAGTGTGTCTTGTCAATAATATAATTGGAATTAAGGAAAGGCTGTTATAAATATAATTTTTGTGTTTCCTCTATAAAGACATTGTATTGCTCGTTTTGTAAAATCGATTACCGAATGTCATTAATTTTGCGTATAATTCCCCGAACATATTTTTAATGTTTCTACGATTAAGCCCATGGACATTAAGCGCATTAAAATAATTTATTATTAAGTCAGTCTTGTTATTTTTAACGTTTTAACAAATTTAGTTTCAATAAAACTATATATATAGATAATAAAAAAACTCAATTTGAATGGTTTAAAGAAGCAACTCGAAAAACACCACCAATATTCCTCTATTACTCTCTATGATTATTACTATTTAATTCACCGTAATTTTATGACCAATCTTATCAATATCCTCATTTTACAGCATTATTGTTCCATTAGGCTCGTTACACTTGCGGTGGGCCACAAAGCAAACTCATTAATCAAATGTTAATTAAAATCGAAATCCATATAACTGTTATCTAATTATAGTATGTGTCCGTAACTAATTATTTGCATATTCAGTTGTCAACAATCGAAACTCAATTTGACCATCGATAATTGCCATTTGGTAATTATAAGATTTATGTTGATAAATTTGCATGAGCGAATTGAAACTTCGCCAAATTAATTTACTGCTTATTTTGCGAGGCAACGAGGCGACTCGAACAGTGTTTCAGCAATTGTTGTGCAAAAGATACGATGTCAAGATATTTAAATTAAAAAAAGATTGCCCTGCAAGGAACCATTTAAAATGCTGGCTAATTCTTCTGATTAATTTGCAAATACATTTGTTTGCTAAACACTCTGTATATTCGCCACTTATCTAAACATGTTCCTTCATACAAAGTAAAGGAAATAAGTGTAATACTTGTAGTCAAATTCACTAAAATCGGTCAAAAAGTATCATGAAATACTGAAACAGAACAGTAATATTAATTCAAAAGAAAAATCATATAATACCCGAAATAAACACGTATAATGAAATCGATGAGTGCTCTTAGTTTACATATGCAAGATGAGAAAATGTCAAAAATAATATTATTTTAGTATTTCATTGGGAGCACTCTAATTTTAATGCTTTCTGAATTTTAATCGATAATAAACATTGCAAGATTATTTGAAAATGGAACCCACGTGGTAAAATAATCAGTCTGTTTTAATGAAAAATTTCAGACAAAATGACTGACAACTTTTAGATGTTTAAAAATCAGAAATGAAGAATGAATATATAAATAGGTAATAAATAGGTTAAAATTAGTTATGGGCTCAATTACATAGTAAAACACATTTTATTAAACATTGTCTAAACAACTAACAAACTAGATATTTCTAAACAATTGAGTGATAAAACCAAGTATTTCCCTCAAACTGCGTTAAATGTTGAGTAAATTGATTATAGTAGGTTAGATTGAATTTTAGTTAAGACCCTAAATTCACTTAAGTGTATATTATATCGTTTAAAGTTATAAGGAAGAGAGAACTGGAAGGAAACGTAAAATAATGGATGAATAGGGAGTTGTAATTCAGTAATCGTCCTGGTTTTACCAACCGAGAGCTTTATTTCAAGAAAATTGAAACTTCTTACGGACAAAAGAAAATATGGGGGTGTTAGATCCGCGGTAGTTCAACATTTTGCTATATTTCTCCTAATGGAGACAAGTTGTTAATGACTGCGGAAATTCACGTTTAAATGCATTTTTGAGTTTCCATTTTACGTGTAAGTGTCAGATTTTTCTTTATACAGTCTATCAATGTGTTGAGAGACCGGCAATGTTTCTAAACCTCTGAAATTATTTTGTAATAGCAAATTTGTTTTTAATTGAACTCTGAACAACACGAAATACACTTTCGATTGATAACACTTAAAAGGTTCGATTTCCCGAAGGAATCTTAGATCCCATTTGACAGTATCGTAGCCAATAACAGTATCTTCAATCGATTAGCTATAATGAAGTGGCCTTATAATGCTATAATCGTAACCTGTACCTTTATCACTTAAGAGACTGTTTGGGGTTCAGCAATTACAGTTCTCGATTATTCCAAGACGTGATATTTTGCATTTTCACTATTTATTGACAACTATACGGTTTGCTAATTTGGATCACGACATTTTCCATGTAAATACCAGTTTCGTTTTTTGCCAGCAAGTTGTGGTTATATAGTTGAATTCATATGAACTAACTTGGACTACATTTGATGTACGGATAATAAAATTGCCACTCGAAACTGTGGACGGGTTTTCTTTTTCAAGATTAAATATTTCCGTGCAAATGACTAACTCTGCCCTCCATGACCATTTATTAAAGAAATGTTTAATTACCTTCTCGTCCATACATTAAGCACGTTGCAGTAAAAGCTCTGGAAATCTGGGACATCGTAATTAAATCGGAGCAAAAAGTATGTCTGTAGATGACAAAGCCACAAGGTTTCAAAAATCAGAAAACTCTCATTTCAAGTCCCAAATGAATGGTTATTTGTTTATGAACTTTGGTAATTTATGCAACAGCATCACTAGCCTTATAATTATTTGTAGTATATGGCGATGTACAACAAATTTGGAAAGTATTTTATGGAAAACCGAATATGGAAAATCGGACCTAAAATAAAAGTTAGTTTTTTATTAATATAACAGTATAACAATATAATTATAGTCAAATTTTGTAAGAAACCCACTACGGGAAATTCAGGTCAGGAAGCAGCATCTCTAACTGTACTGTGTAGGTCTTTACAGCTTGATTTGAGTAGTTCGGCATATATTTAACAAAAATCTTTTCCTTAAACCTTAACCTTCATCAATAGTGAAAAGACAAGCTCAAGTTTCCAGAGAATGTTTTCTCGCATCTGCACAACTCTTCGTAAACACCGTCTGGCATTACAAGGATGGCTCCTGCGTCCCCTGCCGAGTTTTCTCCACCGTATTTCACCCTCTTTCCCGAAATACGGGTATTGCTTGCAACTTTAGACGGTATTAATGCATACTTAACTAAAGCCGGCGACTTAACTTGGTTAAACCACTATTCCGACCTCCGCTTTCCTAATAAATTGAATTAAGATTGTGGATTTTCCGAGTGGTTGTAAAACGCCTTGGTGTGAATATTTTATGGCAGAAAACATTTACATAAGAAACATATTTTTGAAAATTTATTGACTTTCGTCATAATCTCTAATTTGTGCACTAGTAAGAAGTATAAATTAGACCTACCGCCATAAGTAATATTTCTGCAATAATATTTTCAGCAACAGAAAAATATTGCAAGTTTTGAGCGGTTTTTGAGTGCATGTGATATGTAATCAACAGAATTTGCACTATTCAATATTTAAAGATATGTGCACATTGAGGAGTTTCCTAGGAAAGCTATTCAATGTGCTAATATATATACAGGGTGATTCAAAATTGACGTCATTTCTTTTAAGGGGTGATGGAGGCTCACTTGAGGAGTACGAGGAAAATATTGAATTTTTTTTTTGAAAATTTCTAGAAGATATTGACAGTTGAAGATTGAATTTCAACTTTGCTATTAAGCATTATTTTGAAATTGTTCCATGTTTAATTGGTAGCATATTGGAATACTCAAGCATTCAAAAAGAAAAATTTCGATCTTTGCTTCAAATTACGAAAATTTTCGATATTGAAAAAGTTCTGTTCTACAATTTTTCAGGGGAAATGCTACAGTAACATAGCAGCAGGTAAAAGAACTTACGCCAACAAAGGACTTTTTTTTATGAAAAGGCACAACAGCGGCTGTGGAGAGTGGTTCCAGGAAGATAGTGAACGGCAGAGGAACAAGTATTGGACATAATCGAATCAGGGCCTTCCAGGGGCACTCAGAGCACAATAACTGACACATTCCCAGGCACCAAACAAATACCGGCTACATTCCTACCACGTTTGTACGATACACACAGCACAAGGAGATACAAATGGAGCACGAGTTAATTAACTGAATACGAGAAGCTGCTTGATAAGAGTGGATAATAAGGAAATTACACAGGCACTGGCTTGTTTGGAGTTAACAACTCAAATGTTTGGTGTTGTATGGATTATTTATGTAAACACCAAACCCCGAAGAATTCGAGGTGATGAAAACAGGCTGACATTTCGAAATAGGTCCCGTCATTCAACGATTCCTGTTGAATTTACCGTTTATCCTTGTCTATCTTATTGTCACTCTCTATTTATCCATGGTTACCGGAATTTTAAATAATAACGAAGCAACAGGTATTTGCGCAATGTTAATTAGGCAGATTACCTTGAAAAACATTGCTGCCGT